TTTTATTTAAGAAAAGCTTCCCTTTATGTGTCACTTGTATCATAGAATATGTGTTGTGTGTTGACCATACATATGAGATAAACCACCAAATAATGGCACAGCTCAAGTGGTAAGCGGGCCAGAAGTTGAAATTAGTAGGGATGTAAATTTGAATCCGTCGTTGTTGGGTGTTATCTGATATGATACGCAATGAGGAAGGTATTATTCGACATGCAATAGCGTGGGGTAGGATATAAGTACCTACTTCTGATTCGCTCTTACAATATAAATTCATATTTCTACTATTTTGAAATTTTTTCAACTAGTTTGACTCAATTACTCATTCTATTATCAGTATTTTCATTAATAATGTGTTTTCTCTTAGTTTTATCGTGAAAAGAAAAATAACACTTGTATTTTTTTTTCAAATAACATATATGAGTGTGTCAACCAGCCCTGTCGCGTTACCGTGCGGGTATTACCTGCAGTGACTCGCACATGATGCAGGAGGGGGTATAAGTTCTAATGCCGTAGTAAATTACCCTGTATCATCTCAAGATGGCTAAGTTTGATCCTTTGCATACATAAATATGAGATTTCGATATGCGAAACTTACTATGTCCTTTAACAAATCTAAAACCCTCTCCCTCCGCATATGGCAACACATGGTGGGGTTTAGCACAATTTGATCAAAATTGGAATTTTTATTTTGAGGGTTTCATTTTACTTTAAAGTTATATGTTAGAGATAGGTTAATTTGAGGTTAAAAAGTTGGTTGCATCGTAGGTCAACCGCAAATCACCATCGCTTACATAATTTTTAGTGGGTAGTCTATTTTAGAACACACACCTACTACATATGAATCACCCACAACATAATGAGTGGGTCATCGCATATGAATATTTTATGGGTTTAACCATCCTATATTCACTCCTCGTGGTCATGGCTAAATATAGTTATAAAGATCCTATCAAGAGCATGACATTTTATTTTCATATGGTGCACAATGAGACGGTTGCAAACGCAAACAAAATGCGATCTGGTAAAAATGTTGTGCATGCAACTTGAATCACTGGAAACTACATATTTGCACGCATGCGTATCTCGCGTTGTTAAAAAATCATAACATGCTCTTTTTTCTCGTTGGAAGTCACTCCTTGTAGCTAGCTGTAAGGCAAAGTAAGTGTGAACCAGTAGGGTTGGAATTAGGTATCCAAGACGAAGGACATGTGAATTGTTATTGTCAAGAAATTAACCAACCCTAATAACAAAGAGAACAAGTTGCCATGTCAATTCTTAATGTGGGGTAAAAAGAAGACCACCGAACTAATTGGTAGCGATATAACGAGTTAAGAGTCAATTGAGAATATGGATGTTTCCTAAAATGTACATCTTGCCAAAAAACAAAAGTGAGGAAATGGGAAAGTGTCAAAAAACATGAGGCCATGAGGGGTCTTGTCACTTGTGGGTAACCAAGTGGCTTATGTTTTGTTTTTGCATAAAAATCATAGAGGGATGCAAAACAATTCTCACAATATAGCACTTTGCAAAACATTTCTGAAAGTATTAGAGTTTTGAGCAGTTTGTTGGAGTGTCGATGCTGATGGAAGCGAAATATGTCAATATGAAGTGGATCGCGGCTGGTCCAAATGATCTCCACCAAACTTAGGGTGGTTCGCCGGACACAAACGTTAGCTAATTCTAATTAGCTGGGTTAAAACTTCTAATGATTCTAATTATGTGCTCGGTTATCCAACCGTAGTGAAATGTTTTTTTGATTCTGCATAATTTTTTGAGATCTCCGAAATCGCAAATGACCGAAGGTGGTTTGGTCCATCTTCTTTGCAAAATAATGCCCCACGCTACTACGGGTCGGGACGGGTAAAACCCACGTGGGTATGGGGCGGGGGCGGGTCGACCCACTCTTACATGTTATTTGGAAAAGATATACGCAAAGTTTACTTTTTACAATAAAACAAAGGGAAAACACCTTATGAAAGAAAAATGTTGATAATAGAATGGGCAATTGAGTCTAACAAGTTGAAATATTAACTCTAATATGTTGAATAAAAGTCAAAATAGGAGAAATATGTATATATACCGTAAGAAATTGAGATAAAATATGTCTAGAACGGGGCTAGGTGGGGCGGGACCAGTGGCGGAGGGAGGTAGTGATGAGTGGGGTCCTATGACCCCACTTGCCAAAATATTAGGCTACAAAATCCTTTTTTTTTGTAGAAATTACAAAATTCTTTAAATAGATAGGGTTGAGTATTATTTTTAAGATCAGGACCCCATACTCTCGTCTATCTTAACTCACATAAGGATCCCACTGGACATGACAGGTCGGAAGTAGATACTCATTTCCCGCTCCATCGCGAATCAGATCAAGTAAACCCGTGAGGCGGGTTCAAATTGCCATATCCCTCAAATTTGTATCCTTGTTGCCAAACATCGTGTTAGTAATTGACCCACATGCCACAAGTAAGTAGAGGGGGAGGGTTTATGAGTAAGTAATTGAGCGGGAGTTTTAGGTTTTAATTTGGTCATGAGAAATTGCACATGGGGATAATGGGTATCTCCCAACACAAATTCAGTACGCCAAACAAACCACAACCAGACTCTATTCCAAAGCCAACTAGGTAAGAGCAGTTTGTTTGTCTCTCTGTTTCTGCTTTGGCCTTTTCCTTTGTTAAAGCGGCCGGTGATGTTCCGTGGCTCCTTGTTAGTATATAAAAATTATTGAGGGGTTGTTCATAGGAAATAGAAATGAATCAACACGATATGTCATAGTTAGCATAAATAACCACACAATTTATCACTTTGTACAAAATAGTCACTTAACATTTATTTTACACGATCACAAATTATTAATATGTATAAAACGATTACAAAACATTTATTTTGCACGAATAAACGGTCACAAAACATTCACTTTGCACGATTTTGTGCAAAATAAATGTTTTGTGACTGTTTTGTACAAAATGATAAGTTGTGATCGTGCAAAATGAATGTTTTGTGACCGTTTTGTAGAAAGTGATAAGTTGTGTGACCATTTATACTAACTACCCATCATACATGCCTTTAAGTTCATTTAAAGGTCGGTCTTTGAGTCATGTGAATATCATTGTTAACCATTTAACAATATATATATATCATTGCTAACCCATACATATAGAAATGGACGAATTTTTCACAACTAATCCCATTTTAAAGTTGTTTAGGTCAAACGAATTATAAACCATTTCAAAGGGATCATATTCATTAAACTGAACGGCCGACAAATTGGGTATTGCGATTATTGCACAACCAAATTCAATAGTTTTTTTTTCTACACTCTCATATTTACTCTTGGGTATACCAAAATGAACAAATCGAGAAGTTTTTTTGAGAGCGAGAGGCGTTCGAATCTCAATGACCCTATTTATTAAGCACATGGTATTTTAGTTTTTGTGCACACTTTAAGCATTTTCAAGTTGGTTTTCATTTACAATAGTATGCTAATAACGAATAAGTAACATTTGATTCATAATTGAACATCTCTTAACAAGTCAAATTATCGAGATGAATGGAGTTTTTTTTAATGGAGGTAGACCTACTAACTAGTAAGTCAACTCTCTCTATCTCATGATGGATATTTACTTGCAAGCTGTGACCACGTTGTGAATATTTCTATCTCTATCTTTGTTGTCCCATTCCTCCTTGTTTTTTATTCGTTTCATTCTTGCAACCATTTTTCCAATAGCCTCGACATATTGTAGTTGTAGTCAACTTAAGCCTGGTTTAAAGGAATAATACTAATCCAAGAAAAAACATGAATGAAAGTCACAGCTACCCAAAAAATAAGTTTGATAGTTAATAAATCAGCACCTCTTCACACTTTGATTAGCCCATAAGGACACTTGCATTGCATCATCATGTCCCAATTACCAAACCAATACAAATAAATTAAACTTAATCAGCACATAATCTGCTAATGAATATTGTTGTATTGTTATTAGTAGGCAGAAAGGTACCCCTCTCCATGCTGGTTTCCCACATAATCTGCTAAAATATATTTGGTAACAAAAAAACAAATACACTTAATCAGCACTTTTAGCTGCCAAGTATTAAGCCCATAATTGGTTTTTTTATTGGGTATTAAGCCCATAATTGATTCGTGATGATTGGGTTTTCTGTTTTCTTTTTACAATGTTTTATTTCTATTGTGCTTAAATATGAGCGTAAACATAAGTTTTATATCAATTAAATTTAACGAATTATATCTCATTTGTTTTAATATGGAATTCGAATTTTATGAATATAAGAATCAAATCATTCGTGCTCTTCAAAATGACATCCACTGTAATATATTTTGGAACAAAAAATTTGAGGCATATATTTTGAGCCTATATTATGGTGGTAATGTTTAGTAATACATAAGATTATACAATGGGTATGGAAGTCTATAATGTATATCATATTATAGAATTGTTATATACATGACAATAGGAATGTAGTAACCACCTTTCACCGCCATCTACCACCCTATATCAAAGTGGTAGATTTATTCCTGAAATTTTTCTCCAAAAATTTGTAGATCATGATGATCGTAACTTCTATGCAATAATTATGAAAATTTGAGTTAAAAGCGAAGATAGTACCAGAGTAATATTGGATCGTATTCGTACCCAGTGGCAGAGCAACTTGCATTCTAGGGAGGTCTTAGGCACCACCTGAAATTTGAAACACATATGAAAATAATATGTTACTATTGTTTACTTGGGAGCAGAGATTCAAATAAGATAAAGATACCCTGTAAAAGGCGATCATTTCTACCACTAAGTACATGCCCTGCATGGTTTATGTATTATAATTTTGGATATGTAGTTACAAGTGTTTAATGGTATCTTCAACGAGGTTAATACAAAATTGCTATGTTGTGTGACATGTTTAAATCGAGAAGATTCATTTATTAACTCTGGCTAGAAAATATTACGTATTTTAAAACCATGATTTAACTTTGATAAGAAAATGTTGTTAAAACTTCCTACATTTTATACTAATGAGTTCTCTAAATGTGATCTCATATCTTGACCTTCGCCAACTTGGCACTTATATATTTGATATGAAGATAGATTAGAGGTTCGCACGATTAAAGTGATTTGTTGAATTTTTAGGGAAATGGTTGTGTAAAAAAATCATCGACTGTTTCCATTGGTGTATCTACTAATGAAGTCGGTGTAGTTGATACATGTCGCAATTGTAAATGATGAAAGAACATTTTCTACAATGAACTTCGTGACAAATATATTTACTCGTCTGACGAGTGGTGAAGTCACGATTTTTTTTTAGTGAGGGCATATGGAGAGCGACATCCTTGATCGTTTGGATGAACAATTTAATTGAGATACTTTTCAGAATATGAAAAAACATCATTGATCATTACTAAAAATCATTAATATATTTTTATTTTAACGTTGGCCATTATGAAAATGCGTCATTGATCATTGGTGTATTGAATTTGAAATTGTAGTTGTTGGCTTGTTGCTATATGTCGTTACTGCTAGTGTTGAAGTAGTATTTTCTGCAATGAACTTTGTGAAGAACATGCTTCGGAATTAGATAATGATGATTATCATCCTTGATAGTTGGATGATGAATGTATTTTAGAAGTTTTTTATAATGTGAAACACGTGGTAGTTCATTGTCCAACAATAATAATTTTATGTTACTAATTTTTTAAAATAGGACCTACCTAAGTCAAATTCCTAACTACGCCACTGATTGTACGAAGTCTTCTCCTCTAAATATGTAAATAAAAGATATCATTTTGTAGATAAAAAAGATATACAAATTTTTAATTCAGGTTAAAAAATACAAGTCAATTAAAAAAAATCTTTTAATCTTACGCCCAGATTTGATTTGCATATATTGATGTTTTATTTGAGGGTATGTCTATGGTGACTTGCAAGTCACCGTAACTTGGAGAAAACGGCCGACCTTTTCCATCAAGTGGTCGACCACTTTCCAAGAAAATGGTGGACCTCTTGCACCAAGTGGTCTACCACTTGAGTTATCCGGTCTACCACTTTCGAAAATGGGTCGACCTAATGACACACTTACCTTCAAGCGGTTGACCTCTTCCACTATGTGGTCTACCACTTGAGTCATCCAGTCGACCTGGTGATACACTTACCTCCAAGTGGTCGACCTCTTCTACCAAGTGGTCGACCTCTTCCACCAAGTGGTCTACCACTTGAGTCAACCGATCTACCGCTTCGGAAATGGGTTGACTTGATGACACAATTACCTTAAGTGGTCGACCTCTTCCACCAAATGGTATACCATTCGAGGCAGTCGGTCTACTGCTTCTAGCAATGGGTCGACATGTTACACACTTACCTTCAACTTACAACTGCTTGTTGGAGGAGGTAGACCGCTTCTTCTAAAACAACCTACTAATTTCACAATATGGTTTACATATCTCTTTCGACAAATGATCTCCGCTTTCGGCGAACAGTCGACCAGATAACACAATTACTTTATACTTACATTAGAAAAATAATGGACAATAGGAGACCAACAATATAAAATTGTTTTTGTAGTAACGCAACATCCTATCAATTGTGGGCGGCCACTTATAGGCCAAGACAAAAAGAAACGCCCTCTTTTAACTCTTTTGAAATAAAAATCCACAAAAGTGATGATATACGATTTAGGGACGTCGAAGATGACACAATTGTATAACAAATCTACTCTACATTTTGAGCATCTTCATAACAACAATAACCACAAAGTTGATCCATCACAAGACAACTATGAGATAAAAACAAGAAACTTAGAATTTGAAGTAAATCTCCTTTCAAATCTCTTACTAGAAAGCATATATGTTGTTATTAGACTCTAATTATATATGGTGATATCACTAGGAATGGTTCATGAGGTGGATCCAGTATTGAAAGAGGTGGACCGCTTGGGAAAAAAGGTAGACCCCTTAATGAATGTGGTAGATCATCTTTTTGTATAATATCTTTTTAGTGAAGAGGTCGACCGTTTTGTCCAAATAGATTGATCTCATCAATAATCAGATCGACCGTTTTGTCCAAGTCACCATAATCGTTTGGATGGATCAATCTAAAAATGAGTCAATTTGATCAATTGTCTCGTTTTATAAATGAGACAATTAAAACGAGTAAATTCGAATTACCTAACCCACCCCAGGTAATTGAAATTGACTCAAATGGATCAATTCAAAATATCTCAGGCAGTTTGATCCATCCAATTTTTTTGCTGGCAAACGAGACAATTTGGTACAATTGTCTCAAAACGAGACAATCGTGTCAAATTGATCCGTTCCAATTCCTCGTCCAAACGACTTTTAGTTTGTTTTTGTTTATACTTGTGGCCATTGGACTAGCCAAGAAAAGACAATGACGGTTGCGATGTCCCCATCCCTTTGCTATGCAATGCAAGGAACAATACCAGACATTACTTACAACCACCATTGTCCACCTTCCCTTTCCCTTTCCCTTTCTTTTTGCTCCTCTTCCCTGTTATAAAGCATTTTATGCATAATTTATTCCCGTGTGTAATAGTAATAGTAATACTAATAATAAGTAGGATCCACCACATTGCTCACCGACAATCTCACATATTCCCAAAAGCAAATAAAATAATAAAGGGTCTTGTGAAGCAGCAGAAGAAAGAAAGGAAGAAATCAATAATAGTTGAATTAATAATGTATGTGTGGTCTGGTCTGCAATGAAAACATAAAATAAAAAACCAGCAACAGAAGAATTAAACTAATTGGTGAAACAGAGACCGCGAGAGAAAGGACGACGGGGGAAAATCTGGTGTAAACCGGCGCTTTTTTACCGATACGTACAGTAACAGTAGTAACCAAATTGAAACTGCTGGATGGGTCGATGAATAGAAGAATACACAAAGGGTAAGAATTTTCCAAACTGAGAAAGAAGAAAGAATTAATTGAAAAAATGACACGACCAAGTATGTAATTACAGTAACTTTTTTTTTTTTTGGACAGACAAAATACAAAGCACCACTCAAAACCCTCTATGCTCGCTTTCACATAATAGTAATAGTAATATATATAATCTCATCAGGGGTAAAATAGGCCTTCAACATGAGCCCTTCCCCCTTGTTTATTATTACCATCATGTTTCCCTTCTTCTTCTTCTACACAAAAGTCTTTCTACCTGCCAATGAAGACAACAATCATCAGGCCAACTAATTACTAAATAACCCCTGTTGAAATCCCAGAAATGACAGTAAAAAAACCTTATCACGAGACTTACCAGTTTCTCTATTTCATCCAATGGCTCCCCCACTTGTATTTTTTTTTTTTGTCTTTTTTGAAGAGAAAATAAATGGGGGGAAAAGGGAAAGAAGAGTTTGCTGTATGTTCATTGACAGGAAGAAGCAGCGAAATAAGAGCCGATCACTCTGCAGGCCACCTCCATCAATTTCCCTGCAACGGTAAGTAAACTTATTTATGTTAGTCAACCATCCATGTTACTATGTTGTTATATATAACCCAAATCACTTCACTTACAGAGCAACAATACAAACACAAGAAGAACAAAATGTATGTGTAGTCAAATATGATTTTATGATAAAAACAAATAATAGCAATACATAATAGCGCCAGAAGCAAACCACCCATGTTATGTTGATGATGCCACACCACCCCCAAACTATACTATATTTCTTTCCAGATACTAATAACTCACAAGTAGACATAATATTCCAAATCACATTGTAAAATGAAATTATTATATTATATATAAATAAAAGTGACAAGAGGGAGTGGGAATGGAATTTTGCAGGGAGGGAAGTGGACAAAAGTAATGGTTGATGAACAAGGAAGGAAGGAATTAGTAGTAGAGGGCTGTTTTGGCATCAACCTATCCATCTCCTCCTCCTAATGAAATAATGGTAGCAGCTTCTCTCCTGCGTGTGGGGCAGCTAGCGAGAGAGAGAGACAGGGTGGTTGTGGCTCACAGCTTGGAATTCCCTGGCCTCGCCTCGACCTATACCTTGCTTAAGCTTAACACTCTCTCTCTCTCTCTCTCTACCCACTTCTCTCACTTCACATGGCTTCTTCTTTCTTCGTCCAGCCAGCCAGGCTGGGGCTGGGTGACCAAACCCCTAATTTACACCCAATTTTCTGATTAGGGTTTACTTCTTCTGAGAACCAATGTTTTAGAACTCTACCGTACTCCAGTCAGAGCCGGTAGGGTAGGATGGTCAAACGGTGTGGTTACCGTGGTAACCGTTTTAACATATAGAATTTGAATAATTTGACTTGGTTAATTTGGATAATCGGTTTGGTTTTGTTACATTTTTTAGCTTGGTTTATTTTAGGTAATTTGGTTTGATTTCAGACACTTCTATCCAATCAAACCAAATTAACCAGTTAAGTAATTAGTCATATATCTAACATATATTATCTACACATACTTAATACTTTACATAACCACTCAAGAGTCAAATGTAAGATTATTGTATTTGTTACATGTATTTATGTTAAGAATTAACTATAATTATGTGTTATCCATTATATAAATTGCAAATTGATGCACTATATAAATTGCAAATTGATGCACTAACCAAAAATTTCTCAGTTAACGACAGTAATGTGATATTATATTGGTCATTTTGGTTAACCAATTACCCAAATCGATTAAACTTTAGTTCGATTAATTTGGTTGTTGTATTAGTTTGGACAATTTGGTTATGATATTGTATTCCATGGTTAATAGAATTCATGCTTATTTGGTTTGGTAATTACCATGGTAAACCATTTGAACATCCTAAGAGCCGGCCAGAAATCTAGGATACCAAAACCTTAAACATCGGTTTTAGCTATACGAAACGGTCATTGTACGCTACAATTCCACAATCATTACCTTAATACTAGTTAACCCAACTCACCGGCACCGCCGGATTGGATTTCACCACGCACTCAAAAATTAAGGGACACTCCCTATCACTCACACCTTTGCCTTAGCTACACAAAATTTTGGACTCAACCCACATTCACATCACACCATCTTAATCACTCCAACCTAAACCCAATTGCCTCACTTGTTATAATTAATCCCTCCTATTATTAATTAGCTTCCCAACCTACTAATCACAAACACACCTATTCACCAATCACCACGTCAAATCCTAGTGTTAGTGGGGATTCTTTTCTAATGCATTCTCCAATTTTACATCTTGGCCATTCAACTAACAATGATGGAACCATTGAAACAATTTGGGAAACATTTGGCATCTAATTCTATGCGTCACAACCAAGCACCCAATCTAGTCCTACTCTACTCTAGCACAATTTTTCTTCTTCTTCCTCTTAAGAAATGAGCAAATGGGAATGGGGGGAATTTAGAGCAAGGGTCGTTGTACAAGCAACAGCTGTGTTATAGCTGTTAAAAACCAACAAGTCAATCAATACCTAAACCAAAACCTTTCTCACCACTCCACTCTCCACCGACACCGCCACTCCTTTTTCCGTCCTTAATTGCTACGCCGTAAAATAGATTAGGCAACAATGGCGAAAGATTTCATGGAAGCTAAGAACAGGGCAAATTTCCGAATCCAAACTTTAAAATCAACTAATTACCTCTCCTGGCCTTGGTCACGACTTTGACGGGACTCGCCGGCTTCCTCAGCGTCTCCGCCGCTTCCGTCTCCGGGAACAGGATCCCGTCAATCCCCTGCACCGAAATCCTGCCGTCGGTGTAGATATCCGGGTCGAACAGGTACCCCGACACATCACCCGCCCCGAATTTCACCGACCCGTCCGCCTCCTGCGCAGTAACTTTATGAGGCAGCCGCAGCGTATCGTACTTCACTTTCCCAAACCTCCTCACCGCATTGTACATGCTCTCTTCGGTCTGGTACTCGGGGATGATATGGTAATAAATAATCTGCTCCGGCGCACCCGGTTCGCTCAGCTGGTCGGTCGTCAGCTTCGCCATCGCTTCATCGTTCGGCGCCAAAACAGTCAGCACATAGCCTTCTGAAACCAGCCGGCCCATCTCCGTGGCGAGAGAGGTCAAATTGACGAGGATATCGGCCATTTCGTTGTACCCGCCGTAATGCAAGAGAGTGTGGATGAAGTCCTTGACCTGGCTGTGCCCGTCGAAGTGGTGGTGCGGGCCTCCGGGTCCCGGAGCGGGAGCCGGAGCCAGAGAAGGACCCGGAGCCAGAGCGTCGTAAATTGGGAGGACCGGCGGGGCTCCGACGGGTACCGCTGCTGCGGCTGCAGGTTTTTTCAATCGGTGGGTTCTGGGATCTACTTCGGGAGCTCCCTCTGGGATGACGGCGGAGATGGATCTGAGATTCCGACGGCGATTGAAGTCCTCCTGGACGGATTGAGGGACGAGGAGGCGCTCGATTCCGTGGATGACTCCGTCGGGTCGGGTGACGTCGTCGGGTCGGACGATTTCGGCGGAGTCGACGGTTTTCTGGCCAGTGGGCTTGGTGGAGAGGTGGAGGTGGTGGTGGGAGGAGAGGGTGCGGTGTCGGTGGCGGGGAGATGGGTCGGTGGGTTGGGGCCAGTCGGGGGATCCGACCCGGGAGGGGAGAATGTGGGCCATGATTAGGGTCTGGAGGGAGTGGAGGTTGCGAGGCTCGAGGAGGAAGCGCTTGAATTCGGGGTCGAGGCGGCGCTCCAGAGCTTCATTGCGGGGTGCGAAGATGGTTAAGTTGTGGTTGCCGACGGCCTGCTCGAGGGTGTGGAGGAGGAGGGCTTTCTCGACGAGCTCGGCGAGCTCGGTGTAGTGGGAGTCGAGGAGGGCGACGAGGACGGAGTTGGAGTTGATTTGGCCGGCGGCGGCGGTGGAATTGGGGGGAATGGAGGGTTGGGAGTGGTGGCGGTGGTGGGGTTTGGGGGGAGAAGTTGTGGGCAATGCGACGGTGGAAGTAATGAGGAGGAGGAGGAAGAAGGAGAGGAGAGAAGAGACACCATAGATGGGAGTTCCTCCCATGGTGCTCGAAATTGAGAAGGGGAGTTCAGAGTGTGGAGATTGGGGTTTGGGAATGGAATGGAAGAGAGGGTTGGGGAAGAAGAAGAAGAAGAAGGGGGGGGGGAAATTTGGTGAGGTTGCGTTAAGGCGGAGGGGAAGTGAAGGACACGCGGAATGGAGAGATGAAGAGAGAAAAGAGGGAAAAAGAGGTGCAGAGTGGGAGATGTGAGAGAAAGCAGAGCAGAGATTAATGGAGGAAGGAGGAGAGAGAGAGAGAGAGAGGGGACAGGCTGGAAGTGGGGATGACAGAGACAGGGACATCTACTACTCTTTTCTGCTGCTGATTTATTTTTTGGACAATTTGTTTTTCACGGTGAGTGTATTTAAGTATATTGTTTTTTTTTGTTTAATGAACACACAGAGAAAGTGGTAACGAGTTGCCAACAACCAAAGTGCAAATGGTGGCGTTGGATGTAAGTGAAAGCCAAACTTCACCCGCTACGCTACGGGGGCTTCTTGGCTCGGGCTCAGCTTCTTCCTCAATTAGCTGAAAATGACTGTAAAAAGAAACTATTGTAGGCGAGTGTCTAGTATGAGTAGGAATGGCAACAAAACCCAAATCCACGGGTATTCACCTAATCTAACCAGGTCAATGCGGGTAAAATTCGTGTTGATGGGTTTTGGGTCTGGTTTGGGTTTAAACCCGCTACACTATTCAACAAGTTGGGTTGGGTTTTGGTAAACCCGTCTCATGGGTACCCACTCACACTCATGTAATTAAATTTTCCGGATTATTTATATTCTAAGCAATATATCTTCTTTAAACAACTATTTTTTTTTATATTTTTGGAGACATGTTACTTTATTCTTACTAATTGTGTACAATGAAGTTGACATTATGTAATATGTAGTGGAGTGTGAAGAAGTTTAGTTGACAAGGAGGAAGGAGCTTTCAATTAATCATATTGTTTATAGATGTTTATCTTTAATTTGAACTATTTGTATTGATAATTTGCGGTTTGCTTGTATGCTTTTTTTTTTTTGCCAAAGATATTCCGGAAGGAATAGCAAGATACGAAAATATACAAGACCAAACGGTCAGGGAAAAGAAACAAGAGCAAAACGATGGTCAACCAGACGCTGAACCATCGATGCGAGGGCCTGTTTTGCCACGGAATGGGCAGCCCTGTTATACCTACGAGGAGCGAAATGAAACAAAATACGCGCGAGAGAAGTCCCAAGCCCTGTTTGCTTGTATGCTTTAGATTAGTGTTTTTTGTATGGATAATTTTATCAGAAAATAGATGTTAGACTTTTGTTTTGAAAGAAATTTGTTATTGTAAATTTTTTACCACAAAAATCCACGGGTACCCATGAACCCGCGGATACCCAGCGGGTTGGGTTGGGTTTGAGTTTTTCAAACCCAGCGGGTTTTACCACGGATTTTTTTGGTGGATAAACCCATGAGTTTGGATTTGGGTTTGGCAAAACCCGCTCCAACCCGACCCATTGCCATCCCTAAGTATGCGGATGGCAACTATGGTATGATCATTTTGTGACATCTACGCAAAATGAATTTAATTAATATAAGTTTTTATAAATTTATAAATTTAATTATTGATGTTATTTGTTGGATTCAAATATTAATATTTAGTCATAAATGTTAAATGTTATTGTTTACACAAAAAATTAGCATTGTATCACAATCACATCTGTTACAAGAGATCAAATAGCTTTATAAGGCCAACTTAATTATAATAGTTAAAATCAATTAAGTGGGGCACGTGAATTGGGTTTTTGGGTCCATAACCCCATATCATCATGCGTCACTCTAACTATACATTCCAAAATCTGGCTAAATGTTGGACCACCCCCATGATGTGGGGGTGGGGGGTCAACATGCCATACGTGCTGAGGGGGTGGGCACCATACGGCCACCACATGGGTGATCATCATACCCCTTAGTGTTGTGAGATGGAGTGAAAATTTGGTTAACTATGGAAGATGATGAGTATAGGAGGAGCACCCCCTTGGAGAGTGATGACGTGCATGGTGTAGTCAGGGGGGTCATCAAATATACCACCTCCATGGTGGTGAATTACTTTTGTCATTTTGATCAATGTGATTCGAGTACTCACTCACATATGGCAGGTGGTCTGCTTTCATGCCTTAGCCATTTTTCTCTATAAACAAGCAAAGCTACGAAAGAGCTACCAAGAGCGGGGAGTGAAATCTCAAGAGGAGGGCACTACCCTCATCAGGGCATCAATGAAGTAGTTGAAGAGCGTAACCGCCACTCCACATTAGCAGAGCAGTTTTAGAAGGCAGTTACTTTTTTGTGGCTATATATCATAAGTTAGATTATTCTTCCCTACAGGTGGTGACTCTACACTAGAAGCCTTTGCTAACGTCGACTCTGCAGGCTGTCGGACTCAGGATACATGGCGATCCACCTCGGATTGGTGCATTGAGCAAGGAATGTCTTTCTGTCTCGTGGTGGTGTAAAAAGCAAAACTAAGGAGTCGTTTGGAAATTGTGATTGTTAAATAGATGTATTGTTGTGAATGAATGTATTTATACATGTAGTGTCAAATTTGATGCATTGTAGAATACAATGTTTGGTGTGTGTGATTGTGTATGTCACATCAGCTAAAAACCGAGCAAAACAATCTCAACAATCACATCTAAAAATTGAGATATAACAATCACTCATTTTGAGTGATAGTTTCTATCATATCATAGAAACAATATATGTATTGTTTCTGTTAAAAAATTAAAAAAAAAACTATGCATTTTAAACAATACATTTATAGTAACAATCTCAACAAAACAATCACAACTTCCAAGGACTTGGAAGTTTGGAGTTAGAATTTGTTCTAGTAAACCTATATACATATCGTTGTATGCTGCACATATGAGATTAACGAAATACAAAAAAAAAACTATAATATGAAGAAAAAAAAATCCTCTCTATAAATTAGTGTTATCTTGACGACATTACATTAAAAGATGTCTTTGTGTTCCTTCTTTTGTTTTGCCTCATAAGCTCGTTTATCATAATTCGAATTGAAAGGATGCAATGTGACTTTTGAGTCATATACTCATAGTTTATATCAATGAATAAATGTTTCTATAAGAAAAAAAGTTCAAAAAACCAAGTGAGTAGGATGAAATTATTATTAAAGATTAGTGTCTGAAAGGTGAATGAGTAGGCAGAAATCAATTAGAGGAACGTGTTGTATTTTCGTGGGGGAAGGTGTTTGTTTATTTCACTTTTGCCCTACGTTTTCTTCTTTCCCCCCTGCCAGCTCAGCTTAGCTTAGCTGGGCGGCGCTGTGAAGCCTCGAGCCGAGCCAGCCAGGTATGAATTTGTTTTGTTTGTTTTTGGCTTCTTTCCAGTCCATATGCTGCGCCTTTATTGATGCTGACTTGCTAACCCACTTTTCTCCCTTCTTCTTCATACAATCCTTAATTACGTTTCACATTATCATTAGTTTAATTATAGTTACTTTTGAGGAACAATAATTACGTTTCACTAAGAGCTCTTTGGACTTTTCTCAAAGAAACCCCTTTGCTTCCGTAAAGATGGATTAAATGAAGAATGATTGGTAATTGCGCTGCCCACTTCGGTTCTTTGCAAATCCTATATCCTATTATAGCTTTAGCTCATTGTTTTTAGTTTGCTGGCTTTGCTTGCATTTTGAAAGGGAACGATTACCATTAAAGGAATAAGATGTCGTGTCAAGAATTGAGAGTTGTAGTTATACAATTACAAAAAATTATTGAACAAAATTGTAAAATCAATAACTACAACTATAATCGCACTATTATGACTCATGAGTCATGACTATATGAGCGTTAAAGTAGCTGGCTAATTATTATTGTATCAAAGAGAGAAGGCCATTAAAATGTAACGAGCTGGCTAATTGAATTATTCTTCAAATCAAACCAATAAAAGCACGTACATACATATCAAGATATCATGTTCATGTTGGTCGAGAATCCTAAATTTTGTCCGGTTCGGGTTCTGTTTTGAGAGTTCGTTGTTTAGAAGCAAGCGACATTCTTGATGGCCTGGCCTCCATGTAGGGGTGGGCAACGGGACGGGATACCCGTCCCGTTTGAAACAGGTATCCAATTCCATTTGAAGACTAAAGTCCATCCCATGTCTCAAATCATATGGGAAATGAGTACCCATTTTCTGTACGGGACGGATAACGGGTACTCATACTACCCATAAATATCCAAAGTTTAAATCACTAAAATTTTAACAAAACTTTAAACTTAACTTGTACTTGCTTAACAATCACAAAATTCTTCCCAATCACAAATACTCGGTTTGAAAATTACACATTTACGAGCAATCACAACTCATAGAAATAAATCATTCCAACCACCAAATTATCAAATAAGAAGATCCATTCAACACAACCAAATGGGAGACATGCTGCTACTAGGGCTGCAAACGAGTCGAGTCGAGTTTTTGCTTAGCTTGAGCTTGGCTCGTTTATTAATTTTATAGCTCGAGCTCGGCTCGAACTCGGATTTTGATAATCTAGCTCGAGCTCGACTCAGTAGAGCTCGATAAATACTCATTAACATAGCTTGTCAAGCTGAGTACAAGCTCGGCTGAAGATGGGCTTGATTTAAAATCACTCTTGCTTGAAAAATGTGTAAACATAAGAATTTAAATGATATAAAGAACACTAAAAACTATAAATAACATCTAAATTTCATACACATTTGTATTAACAAGACAATGTTCATGTTTAAAAGAGTAATTCATCCTTCCACAAGCTCTAAACAAGGCAGCTCGCGAGCTTGGCTCACCAAGCCACTGAATCAAGCTAGCTCGCGAGCTTATCAAGCTGAGCATGGTCTAGCTCAAGCTTGGCTCGTTAACTAACGAGTTGGCTCGCTAACTAACGAGTTGGCTCGTGAGCCGGCTTGTTAAATAACGAGTCGAGTGTCGAATAAGTTTTTCCGATTCGAACGCCGAGTTGCTCGCGAGCGGCTTGGCTCATTTGAAGCCCTAGCTGCTACTGATCTGCTCCTGCAAGCTGTTGCTGCTCTGGCTTCTACAAGCTGTTGGTCGCCTTCTGCAAGTGTCAAGCTGCTGCGATTCTGGCATTCTGCCTTCTGCAAGCTGCTGTCGTGTTGTTGTTTGCAAAGGGAAGAAGACTTAAGCAAATCACCAAAAGGGTTAAGGGCAGGCTAATGGCTATCTTGACAGGGGAAAGGGTCGCCGAAATGGTCAAATGCCTCAAAGGAATTGATTAATTGAAAGGGTATAGATGAATAATAATTCTGCTTTTGTTAAATTGAATGGGTATAACGGGTACCCATATTACCCAAACGGGTATTTGCGGGTAACCCGCGGGTACCCAAAATAGGAATGTACAATCTCAAATCCCATCCGTTAATAAAATTACGGATAATATGGATACCGGTAACCCTTAAAAAATGGGACGGAAATAGGTATACCCAAATACCCGTTTTTCGTTACCCACCCTCCCTCCATGGATGAATTATTTCATACATACTGCCTACAGCTAGCTCTTCTTCCCGCCATCAAACACCAAATTTTTTGTAAGGAAATTATTAAGAAAACTAAAGGATAAAACTGGAAGCGCAGGCTCAGCCAGCCGGGCCATCAATCGTAATTGGTAAATATGAAGGTTATACCTGTATGTGGGCATCGGGCCGTGCCGTCCACGGGCTAGCACGACACGGCACGACACGATTAGAACACGGTACGAGCACGAGTACGAAATAAATGGGCCAGCCCGGCACGAGCACGAATAATTTATGGGTCGTGCCGGGCCTAAACTTCATGGGCACGAGCACGGGCACAGCACGGTATATAAGTGGGCCATGTCGAGCATAATATTTTCGAGACTTTCTTGAGTATAAGAACGGACATGACACAAAAATAATATTTATTTTATAGAAAATAAATATAAAAAGAATTATAGGTTCAAATATTACAAAACATAAGGAGAAAAATAATTATTTGTTGTTGTTAGAAATGTCATAAAGATATATATGTAATTACTAACATAAGTAAAAATGGACAAAGAATTAAACAAAGCCAAATCACACTCGCTATACTTCCAGTTTTCTTTCCCCCTTATTTGTTACTTTTTTCAAACATTATCGGTTAATACTATCTTCCTCCATCATATTTTCACCTTCTTTTTCATCATCTCTTTTGTTTTCGTCTTTTCCATTAAACACGAATACGAGCATGACACAAGCACGAATAGGCATGGCACGATTCGAACCGTGCCCGGGCTTGGGCCGGGCTTAGCAAAGTTAACAAATGGGCTTGCATGGCACGACACGAAAACTGAAGGGCCGTGCCAAGCACGGCACGAAATAAATGAGCCCGAAGCGTGCCCGTGCCGTGCCGGCCCAAGCACGGCCCAGCGCCCATGTACAGTTATACCGTTATGCCGTTTCAACAAAGTAGTATAGTGTAGTTTGATTAAGTCCAGGGTGGGCTATAGGCTATAGCATCCCTCAACTTTCAAAAATAAGTAAATTTACATGGAAAATGTGTAACAAATTC